GTCCGTAGAGCCGAGTGGCCCGTACCCAGAGCTTGTTGGCTGCCTCATGTACCTGATGACCTGCCCTCGACCTGACTTGGCATACCCTCTTAGCATCTTGGCGCGCTATGTTGCTCCTGGGAGACACCGACCAGAACACATGGCTGCAGCTAAGAGGGTGTTGCGCTACCTGTGCAGTACGTCGGGCATGGGGCTCGTGCTTGGAGGACTGGCTCGAGTTGTACTCACTGGTCACGCAGACGCTTCTTGGGTTGACGACTTGGCTACGCAGCGGTCGTCACAGGGTTACACCTTCAGCCTTGGTTCCGGCTCTGTTTCGTGGCGGTCTACCTACTCGTCCTCTGTTCTCAGCTCTAGTTGTGAGGCTGAGATATACGCTGGGGCCATGGCTGCACAGGAGTTATGCTGGCTCACCTACTTGCTGACCGGCTTGGGAGAGCCGCCTCGTTCTCCTCCAGTTCTGTACGTCGACAACAAGGCCATGCTGGCCTTGTGTCAGGAGCACAGACTGGAGCACCGAACGAAGCACATTGCTCTGTGCTACTTCCTTTCTCGAGAGTTGCAGCCGCGTGTTCAGCTTCGTCTTGCTTACGTGGTCTCTCGGGCCAACACTGCTGATACCTTCACCAAGGCACTTCAGCCTTGTGATCATCAGCGTTTCTGTACTATGCTAGGTCTTGTGTCTGCAGGGCCTCACTTACTCATCTCTTGACTTTGCTTGTACTGTGATCTATATATATCTGCATCTGCTTGCTTACCCTTGTTAGATTGAGATCACTGTCTTGCTTGTTCACCTTGATTTATAATTCTGCATGTGAACTGGCCTTGTGGTCTTGAACTTGTGCTCAAAATGTGTAGTGACGTTGTGATCCACCATGAGCTTGACCTTGTTTTGTTCTCTTGCTTGTCCCCCACTTTGCCTATGGGGGTGTGTCAGAACCATATTGTAGGCTGTAGTGGGGTTGACAATATGGGGTACAACTCTTTTAGGTTTTCATATTTGTACCCACCTGCTTTCTAGTTGATCTCATTCCTCGTACTATTTTCACATGAACATACAGCGCAGAGCATCAGCAGAGGAACGAACAAGTGGATCATTTCCGTTTGTTTCTATCATCTCCCCCATGTATCAACGTTTCTTTTTCAATTTAACAACTCACCTTGTCATTGTCGGCTTCCACCCGCACTTTCCATTCATCGTCGTGCGTGATCCTTCCAGCGCCAATACTACTTGCCCGTTTCCCCTCCCCAAGAACCTTTCTCCATGTTCTCCCCCTTTTCCTCCGCAACTCCTTTCCGCCTGCCTGCGACTTTCACTGCCATGCTTGTGCCGCGTGCTGTTAATGCTGCTGAACCTTCCTTGGGCGTTGCAGCAGCACCAACTGTCGCAAATTCGCTACCGTTCTTCCCTTCATTTCTATTCGGGCTGCGAGTTTGCCCCCGCCGCGGCCGCCGCCTCCGCCCCCGCCCCCGCCCCCACCGAGGCCGCGGCCCCCACCCCCGCCCCTGCCGCGGCCGCGGCCGCGGTCGCCGCCCCCGCCCCCGCTGCGGCCGCGGCCGCCGCCCTTGCCCCGCCGCGGCCGCCCCCCCGTCGCCCACGCCGTCCCCGCCGCCGCCGCCGCCGCCGCTCCCGCCGGCCCTGCGCGGCCGCCGCCCCCGCCGGCCCTGCGCAGCCGCTGCCCCCGCCGGCCCCGCCGCGCCCTACGCCCCCGCCGCCCTAGCCGCCACCGCCGCCGGCCCCACCTCCCCCCTCCCCCCCCCCCCCCGCCGCCCCCGCCGCCGCGGCCGCCGCAACCGCCGCCCCCAGAACCCCGCCGCGGCCCTTGCGCCCCCCCCCCGCCCCCGCTGGCCGCAGCAGCAGATGGAGTAATGGCACACGCATCAATGCGAACACAGCAGCATCAAGGCCAGCACTGACAGCGGTAGCAATGGAACGGTGTAGCAGGGACAGCGGCATCAATGCGAGCAATCACTACAGCATCGGGAGGGTGGCAGCACCAGCGCAACGAGCAATAGGGTAAATTGCATTGTACATGTTCGCTTTCAAAAGTCAATGTCTCTTGGCGGCCATGTATACTCAACACAATGACGAAATCAGCACCAATGAGACACCGAAATCTGATTTTCTCCCACCTGCGAAGTGATAGTGTAAGCGGGGTTTAAGCCCGACGAAATGAATCTGGTGTTGATTTGGAGAGGGTTAGATTATGGTTTGATAGAGAGTCAGCCAATTTGATCAATCCAAACAGCACAACACTTACCCGCAGGAGTTGTATGAATGTGACGACTGAAACAGTATTGCACGGCAAGTCAATACAGTCACGCCGACTAGTCCAACCGATACAAACAGCACAGCACTTATCTCTTGTTGTTGATGGATTCCAACCCGCACAAGCTCGGGCAACATCGTCAGAGTACTCACAGTGCACCTCACGTCGTGGTAGGTGCACCCCTGGTATGGACGCTCTCTCGGGATGCTAACGATCGACTTCTTCGCACCCAGGTTTCCCGATTTTCAAACGGCTCACTCAACATTTTCGGTCAAGTAGTTTTTCCCCTCCATCCAAGCTGGCTAGAAAAAAATCATTACCTAGTCGCAACTCACCCTCGTCTTTACACAGTAACATTTTCACCTTCAATCGCCCATCGATGGCACCTACGCCGACACTTAACAATAGGGACTTGTCAACCCCAGCTTCCGACTCCAACTGTAACACCCGCAATATTGCGGACGGACGCCGTAACAAGCGTCGGGCAGAAGACGGACCTCTTGCCCCAACTTCAGTGGATGTGCTTTTGCAATTGCTTGTAACTTAAAGACCAAAGTCACCAGCTAAAACGGTCTACGGGTCAAACCTCGGGGTTTCTAATGAGGATGGATGACCTGGATTGAAGTATGAGCACCATCAGGTAGAGCCGAGAAACATCTAAAGGAAGGGTTGTTTAGGCATGCTAGGCCAATAGGGGTATGCCCCTTGGCAAATCTTTGGTGATGAGGCGCCAGAGCTATGGTAAGAGGTCCGGTATCCTAGTCACCTCAGGTTAATCCCTTGGTACGAACCTCGGCGATAAAGCGCCTTGGCTAGGTTAACTGATCCGGTAGCAAATCGCCTTGGGCTCGCCCCTTGGCACAGATCTTGGTGGTAGAGTGTGTTGGATCTAGACGACAGCATATTTATAAGCTGCCTAGGTACCTCGGCCGGGGGGATCGGTCCGGAAAGCGACTCGCCTTGGATCAATCCCTTGGCTGCGGACGTTGAGATAGGATGCATTGAATGCAACCGGCAGCATATTTATAAGCCGCCGAGAGGATCGGTCTAGATGGCGACTCGCCTTGGGTCAATCCCTTGGCTGCCAACGTCGGGTACAGGATGCATTGGATCCCAGTCGGCAGCATATTTTGTGCAGGCGAACAACCACAGCTAAGAGAAATCGGTCCAGTAGAAAAACACCTCGAGTCCGTCCCTTGGTGTGGACCTTGGTGGATACATTAGGTCCAGATGGCAGCAATAGTCTAGTAGCAAGTCACCTCGGGTCTGTCCCTCGGTGTGGAACTTGGTGGATGCATCGGCTCCGGATGGCAACATTGGTCCGATAAAGATCGGCCTCGGGATCTACCCTTGGTACGGACGTCAGATTGGGATACGATGGATCTAGGCGGCAGCATATTCAATGCTGCCAAGGCACTATAACCGATCCGATAGCGGCTCGCCTTGGTACAGACCTCGGTAAGTGATGCGTTGGATTGGGATGGCAGCATTTGCTCTTAACTCAGCAAAATAACCCGCGGGGGGTATAGGGGAAAGTTCTAGGGTTACTTCCCTGGGGTAGATCCTCTATGAAAGCTGCATGCACTGAGTGGTTTGGGAATGCCCTTCCACTATGTAAACCTAGGGAATACTTGTGTGTAACCATAATCGATTAATAAGAATACTCTTGCCTAACCTATTGCTACCAAGCTACTCTTGTGGAACCGTTCTGAGCCTTCATACACTACTCAAAGGTGCTGCCGGCGTCCTAGTACTAAGGAGGTGCTCGCTCTAAAAAAGGATAGCCCGAGGAGTAGGGCTAGCGCTCCGCTTAGAGGACCCCGACATAGTGGAGAGGCGCCTTAAGTACCACACTGGTGGTCTAGGAGGACTATAGCTATCCGGCGGATGCTGTCTAAAGGTCATGAAATTTTAAAAGTTTCTAATTTTGAAGTTACACCGGACCCGACCGTAACACCCGCGATATTGCTGGCGAACACAGTAACAAGCGTCGGGCAGAAGACGGACCTCCCGCCCCGACTTCAGTGGACGTGCTTCTACAATTGCTGTTGGAGGTATTGATCCCCTCTGCTGTGGTCCCCTATAGCTCCGGTTGTTGAAATTGGAGTAGCAGTCAATCAGTCTATGCCCAATCTTCTTGCAATGGTGGCATGCTCCACCAAACTTCCCCTACGGTCCCTTCTATTCCCGCAACATTCTGTTGCGCTCCACTCCATCCCACACGATTAGCCTTGTAGTTCCTGCTCCTTGAGTTCTTTGCGCACTGAAACGCATGGTGCCCCATCTTTCCACAATGATAGCAAGCTCCCAAACTCCTTCCAGCAATTGCCGCATTCACCAACGCAGACTTCTCCTACTCTATGCCTTTGGCTATTCTCTCCATTCGCTTCTGGTCGTCTCGTGAGCTTCGTCATACTTTCAGGCAGGTTGTAGATCATCACCGGCCTCTCGCGTGACCAGTCCTACGGTAGTCAGTTTACGATGTGCCCCATCATCGTACGTTCATTTTCCGCCGCGCCCATCGCAGCTAGGTCGTCGTTATAGCTCCTAGCCATGTTCACATAGTTTGACTCAATGGTCATCAACAGTAGCTTCTTCCTCAGATCGGTTATGTGTCCGAGATACGTTGACTCCATATACGTCCATGCCGCTTGTTCAGAGTTCTCGGGCTCTGCACCCATACACACGGCTATCCCGTTGCAAATTCCCGCGAAGGTCGTCAAAGGCTCGTCAAGCTCGCGGCCGCCCCCGCCCGCCGCCGCCGCCGCCCCCGCCCGCCGCCGCCGCCGCCGCCGCCCGCCGCCGCCGCCGTCGCCCCGCCGAGTGCTGAGGAGGGGGGTTGGGGGAAGGCCGCCGCGGGCGGCCGGGGGCTGAGGAGGGGGGTTGGGGGAAGGCCGCCGCTGGCGGCCGGGAGCTGAGGAGGGGGTTTGGGGGAAGGCCGCCACGGGCGGCCGGTGGCTGAGGAGGGGGGTTGGGGGAAGGCCGCCGCGCGCGGCCGGGGGCTGAGGAGGGGGGTTGGGGGAAGGCCGCCGCGGGGGAAGGGGGGGCGGGGGGCGCGCGGCCGGGGGCGTGGGAGGGGGGGTAGGCCGCCGAACGCGGCGGCCCGGGGCGAGGGAGGGGAGGGAGGCCGCCGAACGCGGCGACCGGGGCGGGGGAGGGGAGGGAGGCCGTCGCGCGTGGCCGGGGGCGGGGGAGATGAGGGAGGCCGCCGCGCGCTGCTGCTGCCATGGCCGGGGCAGGGGAGGAGGGGGGGGAAGGGGTCGAGAAATTATGCTTATGAAGAAACTAGGGTTCAGAGAGAGTTAGGAGGAACATGTCAATGCCAGTGGCCCTCTAAGAATACCCTCTAGAGGCCCTCTTTAAACCAATGAGCTGCAGGCACCGAGCAGCAACTGAATCGCCGCGTTTACCCCCCACGGCAGGTGCCCGGTTGTGGTTGAACCCCCGTGACCAGTGGTTGGATTGCATGCCGAAGGCGAAAGGAGCAGAGGCGGCTGTGGTTGAACCCCCATGTTCTAGGCGCAGTGAAAATGACTTCGCCGTAATGGCTCAGCACACACGCCGAACTGCAAATCAATCCTTGACGACCCGCGAGATTGTATCGCCGAGAGCATCTCTGTACCGGGGTGCGCCGCAATGTATAACCACATGACAATTTTTGAAATCATTTTCGAAATTTAAAGATTATGACAATACACGTTAAGGAGAATGCAGTAAGGAGTCTATCGCTCCTTATCTCGTGGAGGTCTACGGACCTGCCACCTAGTCCAATTCATTTGTAGATCTAGTTTAGAACCCTCCCCCCGTCCCATATAGATCTATGCATCTAAATAGTTTGGATACCTACAATTTCGTTTTGATACCATATTTTGTAATATGCAATCTAGTGTGCTGTACGATTAAGGTCTGAAATGTTATGACGACTGCTCTGCAGAATCATTGAAGAGTATTGTCTTAATTCGTTTGATTGTGTGTGTCGCGCTCCGGTGCAGTTCTCCCTTCGTTTTACAACTTTGACCCCAGCTTGCACTGCGCATCCGTTTTTCATACCTTCCCGTTTCTTCCCACCGCGATTTAAGCCCTAAACATCGATTAGTAGAAACGAACAGCGTTTTCTTTCGCGTCATCTGTTTGCTACTTCAATTTTGAAATCAACAGGTTTGGTTGACTTCAATATCATCCAGCAGCTCTAGTTGACTTCATTTGTAGCAGCTCCTTCCTTGCACAAGGCAACAAGACCATGTTAGAACTTGTTAAGGATCTTCTTAAACTAAATAACTAGAAAGCATGAGAACTATACGAGTAAACGAAGTAACGGGAACGATAACATAATTTTATTTATAAACTCGAATGGGGGTGAAGGAGGGTCGGGTGGATGTATTGGAAGCGCAGCGCAGCATGCCTTTCCTCTTATGCCCCTACTGCGGGCTCACCTTAATGGAATCTATTTGAAGCGCCCTGACTTGGGAACCGCAGCAGCTCCCCCAGCAATGCAGCCATGAGTGGATTGAGCTCGGAAGTGACCACCTGGTGGGAGGGAGAGTGGGGGAAAGGGTAGAGGGGGAAGAGGGGAGGGGGAGCAATAGGTTGGGCCAGCAGCGGGATCGCAGCAGCTCTGCCAGGGCATTGAACTCGGGCGTGACCACCTGGTGGGCGTTCCTGGAGGGGGGAAAAAAAAGGTGCTACAGGGGGACGAGAAACATGGAGGGGAGGAAGGGGCACGGGCAGCAGCGCAGCCACCAGTGCGTTCAGCTCCTCCAGTGGGCGTACCTGGGGGATAGGAGGGGGCAATGCGGAGAGAGGGAGCAGGGTGGGGAGACCGTGGAGGGGGGAGAGGGGGAGAGAGGTGGGAGGAAGAAGAGCAGCAGCTTCGCCAGAAGTGCAGCCAGCAAGGAGAGGACGTGTTGGTGGAGAGGAAGGAGCGGAGAGGAGGAGAAGCTCTGGCAGTAGTGGAGATCAGGCGTGACCACCTGCTGGGCATACCTGAGGGTCTGGGGTGAAAGGGTGGGAAGAGAGTAGTTGGGAAGAGTGCAAAGGTTGGTCGGCGGGTCAGGGGGCAGAGGGGACACAGGCGGGTCAAGGGGTGAAAAGGGTAGAGAGGGCAAGGGGGGAGGGGGCGCTGGTTCTCCTTCCCTCACCTCCCATCCCTTCTGCTCCCCTCTTTGCCCCTTCGCTTGCCCCTTATCTTCTCCCTTTCTCCTCCCCCGCCTTTGCCTACCCACTCATTTTCCATCCACCTGCCTCACGTCCACTCTCTGACCCCCTTCCCTCACCTCTCCCATGCACTCCGCTTCCTCCTCCCCCTTGCCCTCCATCCCACACTACCGTGACCCCTTCCCCTCTTCTCCCCTCTCTATACCCCCACACCTACTCGCCTCTCCCCCCTCTGAACCTTCCCTCGCCTCTCCCACGCCCACGAGCGTGTCACACCCCCTCTACACGCCTCTCATCCTGCAACAACCCCTACCTCCTCCATACCTCCCACCGTCGCCATGGGTCCCATCCCTCCAACCGCTACTTCTCCTTCTCCTACCTCCATGATTCACACTACTTCTCCCACCCTCTCCCGTTCCCTCACCCCCTTCCCCGCGCTCAATTCACATTTTCCCCTTCTCCCTTTTCCCCTTCTCCCCCTCCCCACCGCGCCTGTCTCGCCAGCACCACCATGCGTTTTAAGCGGATCACTCGATTCTGCTTCGGTCTTCCTCTCCTTCCCTCGCCTTCCCACGTTGCTGCCTTCACCCGCACCTGCCCCTCCCCCTGCTCTCTCCCGCATCCCATCCCATGCCCCCCCTCGTTCCTCGCTCATGCCCCTCGTTCCCCCGCTCATGCCCCTCGTTCCCCCGCTCATGCCCTTCTACCCGCACCTCCCCCCGTCTCGTCCCCCCTGGAGCCCCTGACTCGCAGTCTCCCCCCTTCCCTCTCTCCCGCCCTTCCCCACCCCTCCGCATGCCCCTTCTCCCTTCCTCCGCTCACTTGCTCCGCCCCCTGCTCCCCCTTCTCCCATCCCTCCCCACGTTTCCGCCAAACCTTAACTACCTATGCCCCCTCTCCCCTTCCCTCCCTGCGCCTCCCCTCCCCGCTCCCCCTCTCCTTCCCTGTCCACACTTCCGCCAATCTACCCTCCCTCCCGCACTGGCGCCCACACCAATTTGCGCGAGCTTTCGAAGAAGCGGCGGAAGGGGCTCGCACCGAGCGCAGAGGTGGTGGCGCCGGCTTTGGCGCTGGTGGCAGCAGAGAGGGAATGTTCCAGGCGGGGCGCAATTGGCGTGGGTTTCCACCCGCCTCTTCACGCCGCTGATGCCACCGCCGCCACCGCCGCCGCTTTAGCCTTTGCTGTCGCAGCGGCGTTGCTTTTTCTGACAGTCCCGCTGGCGCGCGAGTGCTTGCCCCACGGGCCATTACCCCTCTGCTGTCGCGGGCTCTCCGCCATCACGAATTGGAATGAATCGCTCTCGCCGTTCACGGTCCCTCGCTCGTCGCCTACTGTTCCTCGCTCGTCGCCTACTGTCCCTTGCTCGTTGCCTACTGTCCCTCGCTCGTTGCCTACTGTCCCTCGCTCGTCGCCTACTGTCCCTCCCTCGTTGTCCACTGTCTTTCGCCCGTCGCCTACTATCGCTCTCGTTGTCTACTGTCCCTCGCTCGTCTCCTGCTGTCTACTTTTTCTCCGTCTTTCGTCGCCGTCCGTCGCTGAATCGTCACCATGTATGTCGTTTTGATGTGACGGCTATCGACCACTGTCCGACGCCCCTCCCAGCCCTCACTTCCTGAACGCGACGCGGCTCCTGTGACTCCAGCCTAGCTAGCGGGCCATATTAGGTCGGATGGATGTGATTCGCTATAAGTGGGCGTGTTACACAAATGAGCTGAAACGCACGAAATATTAAAGATGCTGAGAGCTACTGAATGGCCAATGATTGTTCCGAAGCATATTATATCGGCAGTGTCCAGCTAGGCGAGGAAAACGGGTTAGCTAGGTTCGGAGGTGTAGCGAAAGGTGCGGTGGCGACTCAAGAGCGTGGTTCGGGGCGAGTTTTTAGGCCGAACCAGCCAGCTCGAGCGCTTCGTAAATATACTATAACCTCAAGGTAACGAATAGATTTCCTTGCACTAACATACCAGAAGTCAACTTCTACGTAAAATTTAGAAATAACATCAATGCATCCCTCTATGTAATTTGCAGACAACGCGCACTAAAAAAGCTCGCGCAGGTAAGTTACAAACTTTACATATACATGACGTTTTTTAACTGTATAAAGGGGCATACAACACAACCCAAAGTGCCACCATATCTCCCCCGCGGTTGGACTCTGCATTTGACTCTAGTAAGTGACCCCCTCCTCCACCAGCAGGCACTTGAGCAACCTGTGCGTCCCATGGGTGTGCGTACAGCCCCTACACTTTCTTCCCACCACTCACGAATCAACTGCTTCCTGCCCTTCCTGCCCACCCCCCCACAGCTCCCTCGCATTCTCTGCCTCTGCTCGCACGCTCCTAAGCAGTCTGTGCGCCCCATTGTCATCCAGAATGGCTACGGAACTCACCCGGCAGCACAGCACGAGAGGTTCAAGGCCTGGCAGAAAGACAAGAGAGGGGAGAATGCAGGGGTAAGAGGTGGTGGTGAAGGCACTGCAAGGCAAGCACGGCCCTATCGATCCCCTTTTGAATCTAGTAGGGCGGGATGTGAGGTTAGTGGAAGTGTGGTGGAGACAAGGCCCGAGCCACCCTGGGAGAGACGGCAAGGAGTGGGGAAGGGAAAGGAGTACAAGCACAGCTCCGTCGCTGCCCAGAACGGCCACATCACTCATGGAGACAGTGGGCGGTACAAGCGTGGGATGCGAGGTAGGTGGAAGGTGTGGAGAAGGCAAATGCCACGTTGGAAGACGAGGCGGGGAGTGGGCGAGGAGTGTGCAAGACAAGCACGGCCAGTCGACCCTTAATTGATGCGACAACGTCGGCAAAGAGAGAGATTGAACCCCAGGAGACTTGTTACTGCTTTTCACGATACACGGAAATGAGGTGCAGCAGAGCAGCCCATTCAAGCTTAGCAGGGAGGGAGGGAGGTCACCAAGTGATGTGAGGTTACCATGTGAGATTACCATGTGAGGTTACCATGTGAGGTTACTATGTGAGGTTATCATGTGAACTTGTGAAGTCAGCAAACGAGGTTACCACAGTTGATAACTAGAGAGTACTCCCATAATTGTGGTGGCCTGCACTCACCTTGGCGAGGCGGCGCCGGGAGAACGTCAACACCGCCTGGAGAATGGTGCATTGGAGGAGGAGGGGAACGGAAGGATTGGGTAAGTGGGGAAGGTTTGAGCCGGGAACGCTGCGTGTAGCGGCATCTGATAGGATGAATGCGGTGCGTGCGTCGGTTGGTTGGTTGGTTGGTTGGTTGGATGCACACGAGGGGCCCACGTCAAGTCCGCCAGGTGAGAGGGCGGAGGGGAGGATGGGAGGGTTGGATAGGGGTAATTCGAATGTTGAGGGCTGCATGCATGCGCACTATTCTTAAAAAAACAAAAACATAAAAACTCTCGCATCATCATCCCACCATCCCCCTCTCCCTCTCCCCTTCACTCCGCCAACTCCCCCACACTCACCTGTCCCAGTCACCACACACAGAACACGCACACAATAAGCATCACAATGACAACCACTAACGCGACTCTCATTTTTTAGCAACCCCCTCACCTGCCCCAGGCTGCACATGAGCCGCCAGCACCATGCTTTGCCCTCCCGCTGCGCACCGCCTGCCCCACCCCCTTCAGCCCTGCCTGTTGGATGCACGTCATTCTGAGTGCATGTCATCCTAACGTCCTGCCAAGTGCTCGTGCTATTCATGCGTGCATTGTTTGCATGAGCATATGTCATTGTGCATGGCTGTTCAATATTTTCATCTCTGTATTTTTCTCCAAGTTTAAATGCTTGATCATGCAGGAGAAATCCAGATCTTTCCAACGATACCAAAATCGCCTTATTCCGACCAAGATCGCCCAAGTTACAAGATTTCCAAGACTTGGATTTCTTATTACCTTTTGGGGTTATATCTAATTTGGATGATTACTTGGACATGACTATAAAGGGATCTTTGGTTGGGTGGTTAGAAAGGCAACTTTGACTTTTGGATTGGGGTGGCTAGAAGTTTCTAGCATGGGTTGCAAATGTTGCAACACCTAAGCAAAATCCAACTAGATTGGATTTTGCATGTGACACCTTAAGGACCTCATGATGAGGGTTGCATCCTTGCTGCTAGGAAGGTTCCTACCATCCTTCCTTAGCTCTTGGAGAACCCCTTCCCTCTCATGGTTCTCTTGGAGGCCCCAACTCCAACTTCCTATGCCCTAATGCTTGTACTTCCTCCACCATTCTAGTCATGCGGCTGCTAGACGTTTTTACTTGGTACTCAATCTATAGACCATCTTAACAACTGATTCAACTTGGAGATGGTAGCTAAGCTTAAGGCGCAACTTCCTACGAAGCGGATTTGCGTTTAGTTGAGAAATGAGTTCGTCGTAAGCTCTCAAAGTGACGGATCCTGAACAACAAGTGGTATCAGAGAAATGTTGTCGACTTTGAGACGACAAATCGTCATGAATTCTCAACAAATGTTGACGAGTGAGACCATTTTCTAGTAGCTCTGCTTGCGAACTTTCGATTGGTGGTTGAATCGCATTCTAATTTGAAGTATCAAGTTCGCGACGGCGATTTTTGTAGAATCGAAATTTATGGCAGAATTATATCCAAACGATTTCTCAAGTTTCCACCGTTCATAAGGCCTCAATATGGTTGGTACGAACTCCGGAGGTGCTAGTGGTGAGATGGATAGAAGTAGAGAGGCTAGAGAGCAAGGGGGAGTTGCTTGTGGAGGAGTGGGGACTCACCAACCAGCCAACCATACGCTACCCTCAACTTCTACACCATCTCCTACAACTGTGGATCCTGTGAAGGCTTTCTCTATTGAGAAATTCATGGGGGAGGACTACGAGCACTGGAGCTTCCGCATGAGGCTGATGTAAACCCAATACAAGCTATTGGATCTCGTGGAGGGGAAGGAGAAGATGCCGGAGGCCGCGGAGCTGAAAGGAGCGTGGATGAAGCGATCGTTCGACGCGTACATGCTCATGGTGCAAGCGGTTGGCGGACGACAACTTGACCACATCAAGGACCTCTTGGGTGATCCAGAGTGTGGCCCCAAGGCTTGGAGGAAGCTTCTGGATGTGCACTCAGTGACACATGCTACCGGCATCGTGCTACTCGCGCGGCGGCTGCGTGATATCAAGTTCGTAGATGGAGAGCTGATGCAACCGGTGTTGGATGAGATGCGGGACATCTTCACAAAGCTACAAGGCGGTGGTGTGGTGTACCCGGAGCTCGTGCAATGCGTGGAGATCGTGATACGGCTGCCGGAGTCGTGGTTTGTCCTTGCAATCAACCTCAACTCTCAACAGCCCCAGTGGAGCGTGGATTACATTCGCGCGCGCATTCTAAAGGAGGACTTGCGGCGGCGGAGTGTGGAGTGCTCGGAGGAGAGGGCTGGCTATGGAGTTGGAGGTGGAAAGAGTGGCTTCAAGAAGAAGTGGAAGGGCAAAAAAAAGGACAACCCTAAGGAGGATGGCGGCGGGGGTCAAGGGGAGGTGTGCTTCTACTGCAAGAAGCGCGGACATCGTTGGCGGAAGTGCTACCAACGACCCAAGGATTGGACCCCGCCTTCATCAAGCAACCAGCGTGGTGGCACGAGGAGTGGGGGAGTTATGGGAACTAGTGGAGAGGAGAAGGAGGAGGAGAAAGGCGGCAAATCTGAGGAGCGTAAGGCCGGGTTCTTCTTCTTCGTGAACGAAGGCACAACCGACCTCGCTATGGCTGCCAAGGTTCTCCTACACCCCCTCACCCATTGGTTGATTGACTCCGGGAGCTCTTGGCACATGACTCCTTGTGCGGACCTACTCGATGAGATTCAGCCCGCACCCATCTCTACAGTCACATCCGCGACGGGCGCCAAGGCCAAGGTCATGGGCATGGGATGCGCCAAGTTCATGGGAGTGGATGGAGAGCTCGTGGGGCTGAAGAACGTGCTGTGGGTTCCGGACTTGTGCGCGAACCTGATTTCTACCGGCCGGTTGGGAGATGCGGGTGTGAACACCGAGACGATTGGCTCGGAGCGCTATCGTGCTTACAACGATGAGCGCCTCATTTGGGACCTGCAGTGGAAGGGAGATGTCCACAAGCGCATGTGGCAGATCCAGGTCCTCCCTTGGCGGAAATCGGGCAAGGCGGCAGCGGCGGCATCTATGGAGGAGAGCGTCACCGAGGAGGAGCAGCAAGGTGTGCAAGGAGAGGAGCTGATTGGAGGAAGCGCGGCGGTGAAGGCGTCGGCTACCTCGGGCCAAGCGGATTGGGAGACTTGGCATCGGCGGCTCGCACACGTGGCTGTTTCACAACTGAAGGTGATGCATAAGGAGAAGTGCGTGCATGGGCTGCAACTGCAAGGAGATGGCGCTCACTATGGCAGCTGTGAGGCGTGCATGCAAAACAAGTTTGCGCGGTTCCCGTGTCCACGTGTGGAGGGATCAGCTAAGGCGCCACTTGAGGTGGTGCACATGGACCTGGTGGGTCCTATGAGGACTGAGGGGACTGGGGGAGTGCTGTACTTCCTCACCATGGTGGACGAATGGAGCCATTTCACGTGGGCACGTCCCTTGTCCAAGACGAGCGATGGTGCAGTGGCGATCAAGGAGGATTGGTTGCCGATGGTGGAGCGGCAAGCGATGCGGCTGGTGAAGGTGCTGAGGAGCGACCGAGGTGGAGAGTTCCTTGGAGCGGAATTCACCAAGTTCCTCAAGAGGAACGGCATTCGACATCAGCTGACCTGCCCAGGAACACTGCAGCAGAACGGCATTGCTGAGTGTGCCAACCGGACCATTAGCGAGGCGGCTAAGACGTTGTTGGCGGCTGCTGGAATGCCTTACAAGTTCTGGTCTGAAGCTGTTCGCCATGTCATCACTGTCAAGAACAGGGTCTTGACGCATGTTGGCGACAAGCATTAGGTGTCGTACGAGCGTTGGCTTGGGAAGAAGCCATCCATTGACATGCTGTGGGTGTGGGGCTGCATGGGGCTTGTGATGGTGCCTAAGGAGCAGAGGCACAAGCTGGAATTTGCTGCTGTGTGGGCTCTCCATCTGGGGATGGCTCCTGACTCGAAGGGGTGGATGATGTGGGACCCCAAGAGCAAGAAGACGCTGGTCAGCCGTGACGTCAAGTTTGTGGAGGACGTCATGTACAAGGACTGGCAGCAGCAGCAGCAGGTGCAGATTGGCTTGCGTCTGCAGGAGATTGAGCGGTCTGCAGTGGAGGAGGTTCAGCTGCACCTTGAGGATCTCCCTGGGTCAGAGCTGACCAGTGACCACAGTGGCGGTGGTGAGCAGCAGGTTTCTGGTCCTGCTGCAGAGGAGGGGTTGGAGGATGAGTCGGCACGTGTGGACTCACCATCTCAGCCCGAGCCTGCTGCAACCGCCAAGGTCACCAAGAGGAGTGTGCAGAGAGGAGCTTCACCACATGGGCAGCAGATTGCAACCCGCGAGAAGAGAGTGGCAGCAGCACCCTCAAGGCTAAAGTATAGCCGTTTGTAAGGACCCAAGCAAGGTGCCATGGCGGTTCAGGCAGATGAGGGAGAGGATGAGGAGATGGCGTTCTGTTTCTTCACACCCTTGCCTGGAGAACCAGCCACAGTGGAGGAGGCATTGAGTGGACCCCAGAAGGAGGAGTGGAAGGCTGCCATGGATGCGGAGTTCAACAGTCTCATTGAGAATGGGACTTGGGAGCTTGTTGAGTTACCCGAGGGGCGACGGCCGATCAGCAGCAAGTGGGTCTTCAAGGTGAAAAGTGGTGCTGATGGTGCGTTGGAGCGGTTCAAGAGCCGTTTGGTCGCCAAGGGGTTTCAGCAGAAAGAGAAGGTCGACTTTGGGGAGATCTTCGCTCCCGTTGCCAAGCCAGTGACACTGAGGACTTTGATGGCTGGCGCAGCTGTGAAGGGATGGCACGTGAAGCAGATGGATATCACCACTTCGTTCCTCAATGGAGTGCTGTTGGAGGACATATACATGGCGCAGCCCAACGGCTATGAGGATGGGACCAGCCGGGTGTGCAAGCTTAAGAAGGCCATCTATGGCCTTAAGCAAGCGCCCAGGTGTTGGTACGAGAAGCTGGAGGAGGTGCTGCTGGGTGGAGGCTTCAAAACGTCCCAGGCGGATCACAGCTTGTTTCTGCTTGGAGAGGGGGAGCAGCTGCTCTTGCTGCTGGTGTATGTCGACGACATACTTCTGTTCTCACCTTCCATGGAGCAGATTGAGAGGACACAGAAGCTGCTGATGGACAAATTCAAGTGCAAGATCCTGGGGGATGTCCACTACTACTTGGGGCTGCAGATTGAGAGGGATGTTGAGAGGAGGTGGCTGAAGGTGCATCAGTCACACTACATCTCTGGTGTCATGGAGCGGTACGGTGTGACTGGGGGTCGCACTGTGATGACACCGTTTCCTGCGTGCTTCAAACTGAAGAAGGCAGCTGAGGAGGATGATGTACTCGAGGATGAGCAGCAGAATGAGTACCAGTCACTCATTGGGAGTGTGATGTACGCTGCTGTGCATACGCGACCTGATGCTTTATTCGGAGTGGGGCAGTTAGCCAGAGTTGTGCAGCGGCCCACTGAGGAACAGTTGGAGGTGGCAAAGCGCTTGGTGCGCTACCTCGGATCAACGGCATCTGCTGGTGTTCAGTTTTCAGCTGGCGGCCAGCTGAAACAAATTGGAGCAGATGGAGTCACGCCTGGAACCTTGAAGCTGTCGTGCTTCACCGACGCCACATGGGCCTCAGAGGATGAGGATCAGTCATCAGTTGGCGGCTTTGTGTGCATGGTCGGAGGTGGACCAGTGAGCTGGAGGTCCAAGAAGCAAAATGAGATTGCTCAGTCTCCCGGAGAGGTAGAGTACATGGCGATGTACCATGCCATCAAGGAGATCGTGCTCCTAAGGAAGCTGCTGCAGGACATGGGAGCTGAACAAGAGGGACCTACACCATTTTTCTCCGACAGCGAGGTTGCTATTGGCATGGCCAATAATCCTATCCTGAATGGACTGAACAAGCACATGAAGATTAAGTGGCACTGGGTGAGGCAGATGGTGAAGGAGGGGATTGTTGAGCTTTACCATGTGAAGGCTAGCAAGCAGACGGCAGATTTTCTCACCAAGAGACTTCCCGAGAGCGCACATTGGAAGTGTGCTAAAATGTGTGGCATGGCATTGCACTAGTGTGGGCAGCAGTGTCATGAGTGCATGTGTGATTGTGTGCATGAGAGTTTGCATGAGTGTGAGTGTGTGTGCATGCAGTTCGTTAGTCTGAGGGGGAGTTTGTTGGATGCATGTCATTCTGAGTGCATGTCATCCTAACGTCCTGCCGAGTGCTCGTGCTATTCATGCGTGCATTGTTTGCATGAGCATATGTCATTGTGCATGACTGTTGGATATTTTCATCCCTGTGTTTTCTCCAAGTTTAAATGCTTGATCATGCAGGAGAAATCCAGATCTTTCCAACGATACCAAAATCGCCTTATTCCGACCAAGATCGCCCAAGTTACAAGATTTCCAAGACTTGGATTTCTTATTACCTTTTGGGGTTATATCTAATTTGGGTGATTACTTGGACATGGCTATAAAGGGATCTTTGGTTGGGTGGTTAGGAAGGCAACTTTAACTTTTGGATTGGAGTGGCTAGAAGTTTCTAGCATGAGTTGCAAATGTTGCAACACCTAGGCAAAATCCAACTAGATTGGATTTTGCATGTGACACCTTAAGGACCTCATGATGAGGGTTGCATCCTTGCTGCTAGGAAGGTTCCTACCATCCTTCCTTAGCTCTTGAAGAACCCCTTCCCTCTCATGGTTCTCTTGGAGGCCCCAACTCCAACTTCCTATGCCTTAATGCTTGTACTTCCTCCACCATTCTAGTCATGCGGCTGCTGGACGTTTTTACTTGGTTCTCAATCTATAGACCATCTTAACAACTGATTCAACTTGGAGATGGTAGCTAAGCCTAAGGCGCAACTTCCTACCAAGCGGATTTGCGTTTAGTTGAGAAATGAGTTCGTCGTAAGCTCTCAAAGTGACGGATCCTGAACAACACTGCCAGCACACGCCACCGCATCGCTGCCTGTGCACGGGGGGGTTAAGTGGGAGGGACGGGGGAGAGTGGAGGGAGTAATCTTCTTTAGCCACACACTGCCTGTCCCAAATACTTCGGCTCCAATAGCACGCGCCTCCGCGTCACTCCCTGCACATGAGGGAGGAGGTAGGAGTTAAGGTGAGGGGGGAGAAAAGAAGAGGGGATGTGGAGAGATGAGAGGGATGTGGAGAGGCAGGAGGGACCTCCGACTCCCTCAACCCTGTCAATACCTACCGCCTCCACATTGCACCCTGCTTCCCTCGAGGGAAGGAGGGGGGATGTGGAGGGCAGAGGGGAATGGGGAGGGAGAAAGGGGGATGGAAAGGGGGAACGCCCATACTTGAAACCGCATGCCCTTTTCCCCCCTTATCCGCACCTCCTGTCTTTCGTTTTGTCGACTCACAACCATGCCCATTCCCCCCTGTCTCACCTGAGGGGGTCTTTCTGAAACAAAGCGACTTGGAAGCAAAGCAGCTCCGCCAGCAACGTGTTGAGCTCGCAAGTGATCACCTGGTGGGCGTGCCCAGGTGGAGAAAGGAGGGGAGACAAGTCAGACAGATGGGTGAGGAAAGACGCAAGGGAGGAGGGGGGAGGTGGGGAGGGAAGAGGGGGGAGGTTGGGAGGGAGGAGGAAGGCGGTGTGGAGCAGCAGCCCTGCCAGCAGTGCTGAGCGTTCAGCAGTGCCCGTTCAGCTCCGGTGTGGCGACCTGGTGGGCGTACCTGGGTATGGGGCGTACCCTTTCTTTTCTTCCCTTTCCTCATCCTCCCCTCCCCTTTCGTTCCCTTCCTTCTCGGCTTCCTTCTCCTCCCCTCCCGTTCTCCTCCTTTGCCTTCACCTATCCACTCCTATACCATCCTATCTCCCCTCCACTCTCTGCGTCTCCTCCCTCGCGTCATCCCTGCACTCCGCTTCTTCCTCCCATCCTCCCCACTGCCCTACATCTCACCCCTCACTCACCCTACGCTTGCCTCTCCTCACTCTGTCCCCACGCACCCTCCCCCCTCCCATCGCTGGGCCAGCACACCCTCCTTCATGCCTCTCATTTTGCAACCATCTTCTCAACAATCGCCATATCCCCACATGTCCCCCCACGCAAATGAACCACACACCCCCTCCCCCCCCCCCGAGCCTGTCTCGCCAGCACCACCTTGTGTTTCAATCAAGCGCCTCACTCGCTTCTGCTTCGGTGACTGCCTCTCCTTCCCTCGCACCCATGCTCTCCCTTGTTGCCCTGTTCACCCGCACCCGCACTTCCCCGCGCCCTCCCCCTCCGCCTCCCCGTCGTTAACCCGCTCATGCCCCTTTACCGCCCCCCCAGCCCCTAACTCGCAATCTCGACCCTTCACTCTCTCGCGCCCATCCCCACCGCTCTGCCTGCCACCCCTTCCCCCGTCCCCTCTCTTTTCCACACCCCTCTACTCCCCTTTCTCCCACCCATAGCCTCGTTTCCGCCAAGCCCAAACCACTCGCACCAGTATTCCCCCTCCCCCTCCCCTCTCCACACCTCCCATCCCCGCTCCGCGTCCCCTTCCCCCTCCTGTCAATGCGCGCCCCTTCCCACTGGCATCCCAACCAACTTCCGCGGACTCTCGCGGAGGCGGCGGTAGAGGCGTGCGCGCATCGGGGGTGGCGACGATGGCGGTGGGGGTGGCGGCGGTGGCGGAGGTAAGGAATTGATCCAGGCGGAGCGCTACCGGTGCGGGCTTCTACCGCCTCTTCGCGCCGCCGCCGCCGCCGCTTTGGCCTTTGCTGCTCGCAGCGACGTCGATGTTTCCGCCGCTGAGGCTGCCGCTGCCACCGCCAAGAGCCTCGCCTGTGCGCGCGTACTTGCCCCGTCCGCCATTGCCGCTGCTCCTCGCGCCTCTGCTGCCCGGCTCTTCGCCATCGCTAATCGGATTTTGTCGCTCTGTCTGTCGCTGTTTCGTCGCTCTGTCCGTCGCTTTGGCGCGATCACTATTGAACCACTATCTTGCGCCCTACTGTTGCTCTCACTTCCTGAACGCGGCTCCTCCTAAGACTCTAGCCTAGCGAGTGGCAAATGTTTGATGAAATGGTATGGTAACCAATAGCAATTTAGGCTGGTTCGAAACATGTGCTTCGTTATGAGTGCATGTTTCACAAAGCTACAAGAAACTCGCCGATGACCTAAATGGGAGTTTATAGGGAGATTCGAGCTAGACGAAGACCCCGGGGTATACCAGGCTTGGAAGTTTACGAAAAAAACAGTGGCGGCTCAGAAGAGGTTCGGTGCGAGAGTGGCCGAACCAGCTGGCGCGAGCGCCTCAGAACAAATTCGCTTGTGTAGAATGAGGATCGGTGAACTTAAGGCACAATGAGAGAAGAACAATATATCTTTAGTAGGAAGATGGTACAAGCCTGAGAGGCTAGAGCAATGTCCTTAACCAAGGATAAGTTCTAGAGAAGTGGGAAGCCACATATATGTGGCTGAACTCTTGAGGCTAGCTGCAGCACCTCAAAGTTGAGGGCAAGGCTAGCCAACCTTGCCAAACTAGCAACTGAGGCCACATGTTGCACATGTGGGCCAGGCTGGAACAACAGCCTACATGGCAGCATGTGGACACCATAGGGGCCAGCAAGGTGAGTATGGGATGAGTGGACAGATGGCAAAGCCAACTGTGACCACACTTCACTGTGGATGAGTGTGGTGGAGTGTGGGAATGTCATGTTGGGCATAATGAGAAGATAGAGTGCAGCTCCTGAGAGTTGAACCCACAACCTCTAAAACCAAATGTGATACTCTACCCACTGGGACATACTTGCTTGCACTACACCCCCCCTGAAGGATGTCTTTGGGGTAGGGTTCTTCAAGAGGAAACATGGGTGAGACCGAGAAGACCACGGATGCAAAGAAAAGATTCACGGGGCAAAGGCTTGGTGCCAATGTCAGCGAGGTTGTCTTGAGTAGGAACATAGTGAAGGGTGACAGAGTGGTCGGCAACATGATCGCGAATGAAATGGTGCTTGATGTCGATGTGCTTGGCCTTGGGATGAAAAACGCCATCGTCCTTGGCGAGAATGTGTGAGAATCGAGAATGGATGAACTAGAAACGAGATGGGTACAAGTAGAGAACACAAAAGTGTTGTACCCTCTAGGAACTACCCCACTACAGCCTAAACACACTATAGCAGATATAAGTTTGACACACCCCCATAGGCAAAGTGGGGGAGAACAAGAGGTCACAAGACCAGTCAAGAAAGACAAAGCAAGCTCAGGGTGGATCACAAAGTCACCACGCAGTCTGAGCACAAGCAAATGGCCACAAGGCCAGTTCACATGCAGAGGTATATAAAGGAGAACAAACAATACAGTGAATACAACCTAGCAAGTGTAAGCATGCAGGTATATGTACAAAGAGTACAATACAAGCAGAGTCAAGAAGAAAGCAAGTGAGGCACAGTAGGTACAATGCCTAACACAGTACAGAAACGCTGATGATCGCAAGGCTGAAGTGCCTTGGTGAAAACATCAGCAGTGTTAGCCTGAGAGGCCACGTACGCAAGACGAAGCTGGCCACGCTGCTGCAACTCTCGCGCAGAGCAATGTGCTTCGTTCTGTGCTCCAGTCTGTGCTCCTGACACAAGGCCAGCATGGCCTTGTTGTCGACGTACAGAACTGGAGGAGAACGAGGCGCCTCTCCCAAGTCGGTCAGCAGGTAGGTGAGCCAGCGTAGCTCCTGTGCAGCCATGGCCCCAGCGTAGATCTCAGCCTCACAGCTAGAGCTGAGAACAGAAGAAGAGCGGGTAGACCGCCAAGAGACAGAACCGGAGCCAAGACTGAAGGTGTAACCCTGTGACGACCGCTGCGTAGCCAAGTCGTCAACCCAGGAGGCGTCAGCGTGACCAGCGAGGACAACTCGAGCCCGTCCTCCAAGCACGAGCCCCATGCCCGATGTACTGCACAAGTATCGCAACACCCTCTTCGCAGCATCCCAGTGCACCTTTCGGTGCCTGCCGGGAGCCACGTAGCGAGCCAGAAGGCTGAGAGGGTATGCGAGGTCAGGTCGTGTGCAAGTCATCAGGTACATGAGGCAGCCCACAAGCTCTGGATACGGGCCACTCGGCTCTACGGACTCGTCCGAAGGTGGAGCTGAGAGCGAGTGACCGGTAGGCAGAGGAGTGGACTGTGGTGAGGAGTACGTGAAGCCGAAGCGCTGAAGGACCTGCTGCACCATGTGTGACTGAGTCAAGGTAATAGTGCGCTGTGCTCTGTCCCGGGTGATCCGCAAGCCAAGATAGCTTGTCAGCTCACCCAGGTCTGTGCACGTGTGTCTCTTCTGCAGCTCGGACTTCACGTGGGTGAGTGCCTCAGTGTCAGCAGTAGCAAAGATGAGGTCGTCTACGTAGGTGCCTGTGGACTTCCAGGAAGCCATCTCTGCGTCCATGGCTGCCTGCCACTGAGAGGAGTAGGGACCCTCTATCGCCTCTGCATAAGAGCGCGGGGTCGGGATGTCTAGTGCATCCGGGTCTCCCTCAGGGGCCAGCAGCATGGACACGAGATGAGGTACAGAAGCAGCAAAGCACTCAAACTCCTCCTGTCTGTCCTCAAGAACGTCCGTGCCAAGAGCACACTCACCCCCGACGGACGGAGGACAGACAGACATAGACGCCGACTCAGCAACAAGACTAGCGGCGTAGTCTAGGCGACAGGCGGCAGCAAAGTCAGCAAGCTCAGCAACAAGAGCAGACGCAGCAGAGGACTCAAACAGAGGGTCAGTGACAGCAGTGGCCAGAAAGCGCGCGACAGTAGGACTAGCAGCACGAAGGGAGTCAGACTCCGGGTCCGGACAGGCAGGAAGAGAGGACGAAGGAGGAGAGGGCAGAGGGACACGCTGTGGAGCAGTAGAAGGACGCAGAGTCATAGAGTGAGTGCCTGGGGCAGGAGGGAGACGCGGACGCGAAACACGACCAGCGCGAACAGTACGGACAGGCGACGCAGAACGAGACGCAGGCGACACAGGACGAGACTCAGGCTCACGACGCTCTGTAAGACCTCCACTCGGTCCAGAGTAAGGAGAGGCCGGCTGCAACTGCGACTGGGACTGGACAGGCGGCGGACTCAGGAAAGGAGGAGGACCAGGAGAAGGCGGGGAGCTAAGAACCTGCTGAAGGAGCGGAACGTAGTACGGCCGCGGCCGCGCAGCGCCTCCAGAGACAGCAGAGACAGAACCGGTACCCTCAGCCCCAGGGTCTCCAGTCCCAGCAGCACCTCCAGCACCTCCAGCAGCTCCAGCAGCAGCAGCACCAGCACCAGCAGGACCTCCAGCAGCGCCAGCACCTCCAGTAGCTCCAGCAGCACCTCCAGCACCAGCAGCACCTCCAGCAGCTCCAGCAGCAGCAGCACCTCCAGCACCAGCAGCACCTCCAGCAGCAGTAGCACCTCCAGGAGCTCCAATAGCACCAGCACCTCCAGCACCAGCAGCAACTCCAGTAGCTCCAGCAGCAACTCCAGTAGCTCCAGCAGCACCTCCATTAGCTCCAGCAGCACCTCCAGCACCAGCAGCACCTCGACAGCGCCGAGAGTACCACTCACGAAGCCGCTGTGGAGAGAGGGGCTCCCGCCGCGACGGGACACCTAGAGCACCTCCTGACTCAGCACGCGCAGGCTCAGCACCTCCAGACGCAGTACCCTCAGGCTCCACACGCCCAGGCTCAGCACCCGCAGGCTCAGCACGCCCAGACTCAGCACCCCCAGACTCAGCACCCCCAGTCCCCGCACCCGCAGGCTCAGCACCCCCAGAATCAGCACCTGAGTCGACAGCTACCTCGACCGGCTCGGCAGGGTCTACCTGGGACACACCTGAGGGGGCAGGACCCTGGGGGGGGAGGGGGTCTACCGGGGGAGTACCTGGTGCCAGGAAGAGCGGCGGGGGGGGGGGAGAGGCAGTGCGGTAGGGAAAGAGACGGTAGTAAGACACCAACTCGTCAAACGTGACGTCCTGAGAGGGCAGAACACGACGCGAGGTGGGGTGGTAGAACTGCCACCCGGGTGCGTCAGGAGGGAAGCCAAGGAAGACACAGGGAACGCCACGGGAGGACAGCTTGTCCGCAGTAGTATCGAGGACAAAAGCTCGAGATCCCCAGACACGGAACGCAGACGCATCGCCAACCTTCCCCGTCCACCGCAGAGTAGGTGTGGTCTCCGGCAAGGAGACACGAGGCTGAAGGTTGATCTGATGCGCAGCGTACTGAACCGCGAACGGCCACAGAAAATGGGGAGCAGCCGCATGGATCATGGACGTACGAGCCACGTCCATGACCATGCCAATGCGGCGCTCAGCAATCCCATTTTGCTGCGGGGAGGCCGGAAGCGTGAACGTCTGGCGGATGCCCTCAGAACGACAGAAGGCTCTCAGGAGGTCGGAGAAAAACTCCCCGCCTCTGTCTGAGTGCAGACGCAGAACAGGAAGGTCAGAGCCGAAACTCTCACTAAGCTGGCGACGAGCACCGCGGATCCAGTTGATCAACACCTCAGGGACCTCACCCTTGCTGCGCAAGGGGAAGACTGTGGTGTAACGCGAGTAGTCGTCAACGACCAGCAGGAAGTAACGCTCGTGACCCTGTCCACGGACGCGGGCTAGGCCCCACACGTCCATGTGAAGAGTCTGCAGAGGGGCCTCAGTCGGAGGAAACAAGGAGGAGTGAGGAGCGGCGCGCTG